GCCTAGAATTTTAAACAAATTACTACCAAAATTAGGATTTTTATAAAAAATCATATAAAATATATTTTACATTCAGATATCCACGATTTTGGTTCAGGAACCAAAAACCAACTCAGACCCAATCGTTATGGATTCTTGGTTTCAGTTCTTAATTCTTTTTTATTTTTAAACCAAACGGGAACCTCCAATTCCGATTCGATTTTGATTCAGGAGGTTCAATTCTGCTTAAAATGCTAGGCCTAGGGTGGGGGTAGGATATGGAAGGAGAAGATGATTGTTTTGGTTTTATATTTTTTTATAATTTTGATTTAATTATATACTATATAAGATAATATAAAGTTACTATTTTACTCTTCTAAAATTGGTCGGAGTGTTGACCTTTGCTCAATTGATGGTCAGAATGGGGACAGATTCCGTCCACATATCCTCCGGCTACAGTCAAGACGAAATGTTTGAGACAACAGCTGAGAAAAATGAAAGATTTGAATTCAGTATGCAATAATTTAAAAGGTTTGGGACTCCAACTGTAATTCTACCAAAAAAAAAAATTCCCCAAAGAGCTGCTTTCCTTTTTATGCCAACAGCCATGTGGAGAGATGCGGATTATCAATAAATGGACGCGTAAGTGAAACCGTTGTACAATCACATGCGCTGCTTAATTTAATTGAAAAAGCTTGCGTGTGCACGAGTGGGTTCGACATCTGTTGACAACATTTTTTTGGGTTAACACCAATAATATTTGTTTACGTACATTTAATAAATATTTTCATACAAACCCTATCAACATATACACCTAACATGCTGCTACTTTACAATATTTGTGCAATTGGGAAATTCTAGTTAAGAAATCATCGAGAAGCAAAACAATGGAGACTAAAAACAACGAAAAGATGAGAAAATTAAAGTATCAGAAATTAAATTACCGTTCGAGAAAAAATATTTTTTCTTATTAAATCTTATTCGATCCATAAGTGAGACATGCTAGAGATTATAATGTAATTATGGATAAGGATTAAGTTCTTCTATTCTTAAAACAAATTGACATGAAATTTATTAATTAAATACATAAATATATAGTATCAAGAAATTACAGTCTACATATCGAATTCGCTCTATTTGAATTAAAAAAAAAGAAAAAGAAAATTTATATTTTAAAAGAAAAACACAAACTCGAGATAATAAAAAATGTACACCATATCCCAAGCTATGAATCTATCAAGTTCAATTGCCACGTATTATTAAAATAAAAAGAAAAAGAAAAAGAAACCACTAAAGTTTGTAAGCAATGCAAAAAAATAAAAGCTCTAATTAAAAAGAATGAATGTTTTGATTCATTAACTTATACCATAATCTAATTTGAACTTTTTGATTCGTGGAATACCCAAATTACAAATATTAAAGTCTACTAACATCCGAAGTACAACAATCTAATGTGAAGCGAGAAACAAAAAAGTAGGAATCAAACTTGATTTCTTATAGTTGGAGCCTAGAATTTTAAACAAATTACTACCAAAATTATGATTTTTATAAAAAAATCATATAAAAATCAATTTTACATTCAGATATCCACGATTTTGGTTCAGGAACCAAAAACCAACTCAGACCCAATCATTATGGATTCTTGGTTTCAGTTCTTAATTCTTTTTTTTTTTTAAACCTCCAATTCTGATTCGATTTTGATTCAGGAGGTTCAATTCTGCTTAAAATGCTAGGCCTAGGGTGGGGGTAGGATATGGAAGAAGAAGATGATTGTTTTGGTTTTATATATTTTTATAATTTTGATTTAATTTTATATTATGAGTTTGTTTGGGAGAGATTTTTGGGGAAAGAATTGATTTTGAATAGTGATGTGATGGGAAATGTGTGGTTTAAAAAGAAGAAAAAGTTATTGATGTAATGAAAAATAGATTTTTATTGAAAAATATATGGTTGAAAATGAGTTTTGAAAAAATGTGTCAAACAAGGGCTCAATCACCAATTTTTGCCCATTATATAGTATTTAAGCTTTTCCAAATAGCTCGACTTGAACAATGCATTCTGTAATATTATGTCCTTGTTTAGTATGGCTAAAATCAAA